AATCGATTTTTCAAACTTTTGCAATTTTCTCAAAAATAAAAGCGCGCTGGGACATTTTGATATTATTTCCTAAAACAACTTACCCAAAGTGTTGTTTTGGTACAATAAAAAGAAATTCGATTTTTTGAAACTGATTTAAGATTCTCGACGCTTACAGACATACGCTCTTATTAATTCTGTCACTGGGTTTGAATCGAATTTGGCACTGATATTATTTTTTTATAAACATTCACCACTTGAACTATTTGCAAAAAAATAAATAAGAAACATCAGAAACACAAGTTATATGGCTCTGGCGCAGCGATTCAAAAAAACTGTTTTAATAATTTAAATAATTTAATAACTTTTAGAATTAATATAATAAATGAAAGCTTTATTCCAAACTCTATTTACAATAATGCAATATGTGACAAATAGAAACAAGCAAAAAATCTGCTCAGTTTTAAATTGAATGAGTTATGTAAAATAATTAAATAATTGGGTATAAAGTTATACATAATAAAATCGGAATTTCGAGATAATGAAAAATAATGGTAAAAAGACAAATATATTWAAAAAAATACTTAATACTAATAATACATAATAATAGGAATTATATCTTAAAACTTTGGAGCTTGCTAAGTAGCAATACCGCGCACACCTTCCCGCTCTACCCCTAGTAGGGTTAGTAATACCCTACCAATATATTTTTCCTTGTAAAACCCAGCTATCTACTAACACTAGGGTTACCATTCCTCCTTGTAAACATGTCCTAACATAAACAATATTAAATAATAACATAGCTGCAGTTTTTCCTAAATATTTTATAGGTTTAAACCATACGGAGAGCACGTAATGCTGAGGACTTGCCAATAAATGAAAGTTACCTATCGTTAGTTAGCTTTCTTGTGAAACTCTCTTGTCACGAAACTAGGTATCAAAAATATATATTAGAAAATGACCTCGTAACTTCGTTTAACATCAAAGGAGGGACGTCGACCTCAATCGAGAATGCCACTATACGCCCCCCCCCCCCCGAGGGGGGGTACTCCCATATATGGGCTATAGAAGAAATGGGCAATAATTTTAGAACAGGCTAGATGTTAGCTTGACGATTAAACTTTATAATTCTCTCATAAAACCTATTTTGTTATATGGCAGCGGAAGTGTGGGGAGTGGACACAAGTAAAAATTAAAAATCTGATTATGCACCAGAAACACAAATACACATTAAGTTCTGTAAAATGCTACTCGGGGTGAGCAAAACAGCCAGTAACAATGCAAGTCGTGCTGAACTTGGCCAACTTCCTATAAAGGTGAATACCAAATGTTTTACGTAAGGGACAGATGAAACCCAATAACATGCTTTTTTACACAAAAGCCGGCGTTTCGGATATCATTTTTAAAAACGTCTGGTCCTTACCAAGCGTTTTCGAATAGTTTTTTTCCGTTTACTTATAACCTTGTCGAAAAGTTGCGTTTTCGAGGCCAATCCGCACAAAGAAAAAGTTTCCGAAAAAAATATCCGTTWAGATTACTGACGAGGCTTGCAAAAGGGGAATTTCATAAACCCGTTCTCAAGATATTATTAGTGCATATGAATGAGACCATAGGGGAGACAGAATGCCAAAACAATATATGAAAACATATATATTACTACTTTGTACACCCGCTTGAAAGAAAATTTCAAACGTATAGTAGAAAACCAATCGCGAAAAGAAAAATTCCATCATGTTTAGCCATGTTTGACTTTCGTCATTTTTACAATACGACTTATTTTTAGTTGTTTTTTAACGCCTTATAGTTATATAACCCCATCGAGACCCTCGCAAAGATTTTTACAATATTGTTCACGTCTTTTATTAGTAAACAACGGTCATCCAGCAGCTGAGTAACAACAAAAGCTAATAAAATATCAAATTATTTGAAATAGGTTGCCTCGGCCGTTTTTATTTTTTTAATTTTTTTTTCGATTAGTATTAACCCAATAGTCATTTTTCTTTCATGGGCTAAATAAAAAAAACTCTTAGGCAAATTTGTGTACATAGCAACTAGAAGAGATAACCAGCTAAAAACTAGTGTGAGCTGCATCGGTGTTTCGAAGGAAATAATGGTACCGACGAAGGACTAGCGTCCGAAACGTCAGTAAGTTTTTTAATCTTTTCACGGTGTGTATAATTACCTTTTTATCATTATTGTTGCATAGCAACTGACAAGTGATACTGGAATGTAGTCTGTAGCTCCCTATCTTAACATCCCCTCCCGAAGGCTCAAGGGATACGTTAAGGCTCATAAGAAAGGTATTGCCTACTCTCGCCGCCACTTCAGTTCCGTTGATCCAGGTTGCAAAAAGGAAGGTTTTCTTACCTACTATACTTGGCACTACACTGATTCGTCATGTTTAAAAGGAATCTTCTTGCGATTTTTACTCTGCAAATTGTGCTCGTGAATCTCTATGGTAGGTTAGATATCTTACAACTTAAACAGCCGATAATTTAGCATCCATTGGTAATTTGAGCTATTAATTGGATCACACCACGCGTAAATTAAGTTTCCTGTACTACAAGGGTTTTCTTCACGGCTATCCGGCATCCTCCCTCCGCAAAAAAACATGTGAGTTGTGTCGTGTGCATAGAATATTGAATAGTGTTGGTAGTGTGGAAAGTGTCCCCAATTAGTGCGAAAGCGCTAGAACGACTAGGTACTTAAAAAAAGATATCTTTTTAGGGCTTTAGGTAATGTCTACCCCAACTAATAACACGCACTCAGTTTGGTTTGAATATTAGATGTCTTCGTTTGATAAACGTTATGCTTATTATTGTCCGATACAGGTTTCGCGTCTGGTGTAAAGACAGATAAAGGAGAGAACTGTGTCTTTCCGTTCACGTACCAGGGTGTGGTATACAATGCCTGTACTACCAAGAATCATAATCGTCCCTGGTGTTCTACGACAGCCGTATACAGTGGGAAGTGGGGAAACTG